GCGACTGCCCCCCCCCCCCGCCCCCGCCCCCGCCCCCGTCCTGCCGTCCTGACTACCAGAGCTTCTCGATGTCTTTCGCTGAGAACGAGGGCGACAGCTATTGAGCTATTACACGCTTAAGTGGAAGCCTAACTACAGTGGCGTGGCCGCTGCTCGTTTCTCAGGTTCCGTTGCGGTTTACAGTGTCGCCAGGATTGTTCTGATCGAGAGAATCGCACATGGGCGATATATACATATACCAGCAGATATAAGCGCGCTAGGCGTGGAACATGTGTAAATGGAAGACGGGAGACGCTGAACTCTTCCATAGAGACTTTAACAGGGTAGGCGCGCCGCGGCACTCGAGACTCGGGAGATAACGAGAAAACTCGCTACCGTTACGACGAAGCTTCAATAATGAGGTTACGCCAATGCTACCGGTTAAAACGGGGGTGTGAGTGCTGCGGGGTTGGTTATTTCACGGTCCACTCGCTTCTCTCACACCCGGTGGAGCAGCAGTGGCAGCAGCAGCATCCCCTTTCTAAATCCACCCCTAAGAATTAATTCGAGAGAATCGTCCGGCGACCAAGCGACAGGAGCCACCACTATCGAGTGTACACCGGAGCTCCAATTCCCCCCCGCAGCACATCCACTCTCACTCCCCAGGCGCCCACCCTCACCAAATATTCAGACTCTTCCCGTCCTTCACAGATTGTCTGGATCTAGAGCCCTCCAATCCACGACCCCTCCTTCCCTCCATCGGTTCTTTGAACTCCTCCTCGTAGTCCTCATCCACCTCAGCTTCCGAGCGGTCCTCCGCCGTTCAGTCGTATCAATTTAACTTTCCGTGACTTCTACCAAGATAAGGCTTGGCAATGCTAAGATCGAGCCCGAGGCTTAAGCCCGTAACTTGATGCATGATGATACAAGGTCATAATGAAAGCGTCTGTGCTACGACGTGGCGGTGGTGGCGGTGGTGGTGGTGGTGGTGGTGGTGGCGGTCTGCAAGCAAATGACTAGCAGCCACGAGTCATGAGAAACTCTTTATGCTTTTAAAGCACTTCTAATTTGGTCATCAAAGCGAACGCTTAGGGATTTTACGTCGATTGAACGTAGCCGAGTCGCGAGAGTCACGGTGGAGCCGAGAAACAGTCAGACGCTGTGTTGCACGAGCAGAGCGTGAAACTCGGCGTAGTTTCGTGACGGTAACTCAAATCGACGCGCTTGTTCCTTGCCAGTTGGACCCTCTAATTACTAGACTTACCGTATATAAGTATAAGACCACCGTCCCTTCTCTCCGAGAGGTTCTGCGTCTTCTATCTTGAACGGAGCTACAATCGCCGCCACAATCGCCGCTACCATCGCCGTCCCCGTGGCTTATTTTCAAGTGTGTCCAAGAGAAGAGAAGGTCTTCTTCTTCGCCCTCTTATCTCTTTCTTGTACGTGTGTGCCTGTATTCCTATGTTTATGTTTGATTGTGCGAGGGAAAGGACAACTGAGGGGAGAAAAGGCAAAAATCGTACTGTGCTGTTTCCGCAAAGCATCGGCCTACTCGTACGTGAGCCATAATAATTAAAGGAGTAGTCCGATGCTCGCGCTCTACTACAATCTGATACAAGCGTAACGTTTTGCATTTATTTTACAATGAGACGTTGCAACGATCCCACGCGATCGTTCGCACGTTTGACTAAATTAAATTCATTGCGCTCTCCTCTCTCTCTCTCTCTCTCTCTCTCACACACACACACACACACACACGCGCGCGCGCGCGCGCGCGCGCGCGTGCACGTTACTCAAGACCCACGGGCATACCTTATTAAACCTAAAGCTACACCTAAGACTAAAGTTAAATCTAAACGTGATAATATCACACTTTCGGTCAAATTCCGATACAGATTGCATTCAGCTCCCGAGAACAGGTTTCTGTTTTCAAGTTCGTTCAAGTAATGTCTTCCATTGCTCGAGGCCAGTGGGATCCATTAAAGACGGAGCTCCGGCGAATTACACAGGTCCAAAGTCTGTAATCTGTTTTGTTTGAAATCTCAGAAAATCGTGGCCGATCGGACGCGTTCGACTACAAGAACGGAAAAAGTGGCTACGCGAACACGATAAAGACTCGTGCCGATGCAATTAGAATCGGTGCGTGTAGCTGTGGCCTCGGGACGTAATGCTATGAAGAAAGACACGAAGATGGGGACAAGAAGAAGGAACCGAGGAAGAGAAGAGAAGCTGCGTTGCTAGGCCGGCGGATTGGCGTGCGAGTGTGGGTGTACGCGAGCATGAGAGTGAGAGTGAGAGTGAGAGTGAAAATGAGGATGTGACAGAGTGAGAGCATCTGCGGACGCGGGCGGCGTAGAGGTCGCCGATGACGTTAAGGTAGGCGACGGATTAGGGTTGACATTACCGGTTGCGTTAGCGCTGACGTTGGCGTTCGCGTTGGCACTGGCATTGGCGTTAGCTAATGCTGCCGCTGCCGCCGCCGCCGCTGCTGCTGTAGAAAGATGATGGGCAAAGAAGGTCGGTCCCGCGGTCGTGTAGGACGCAGGATGGTGATAGTAACCGGGTGGCGGCGGCGGCGGCGGTTGCGACGGAGGCGCAGACGGATGATGAACGTGAGCATGCGGATGAGGATGCGGATGAGCATGGCTGTGTGAATGTGGGTGCGGCGGATGTGCATGAGGATGCGGATGCGGATGCGGAGGCGGATGAGGATGAGAATGAGGATGAGGATGAGGATGGGCATGAGGATGGGGATGGGGATGAGAGTGCGGGTGGGTCGCAAAGAGAAATGCCGGCGTGTAAGCCGAGGGATGAGGCGGGGTCGTTGGCACGGTAGGACTGTTCACGTCCAACCCTGGATTTTGCTTCTTCCACTTGGTGCGCCGATTCTGGAACCAGATCTTCACCTGGGTCTCCGTCAGGGAGAGCGAGAGTGCGAGGTTAAGCCTTTCGCACACCGAGAGATACCTCGTCGTCTTGAACTTGTTCTCGAGCGCGACGAGCTGCTCGTACGTAAAGGCCGTCCTGGCTCTTCGAGGTTTGCCACCAGCTGCAGCCGCTGCAGCAGCCGCCGCCGCCGCCGTCGCTGCCGACGCCGATGCGGACGCCGATGCCGAAGTCGAAACCGAAGCCGATGCCGACACTGACACTGAGACGCTATTGCTTGAAGGACAAATATTATCTTCCGCACTTTGCGAAACTTGACAGCTGGCTGTAGACATTTGAGCCGTCGTGATCGTCGTCGAAGCTGGACCGACGTTCGCTGTCGTGGCTGTACCGACGACGAGGCCTGGACCGCTTGGCATGCTGGACGAGGAGGAGGACGACACCGAAGACTGCCTTTCTTTGCATTGACGTTCGGCAGATCGCAGGCGAACGGCTCCGCGAATAACAGCGGATTGTTCCTGTTCCTGATGGTCCACATCCACGCTTCGCAATTCCACATCTTCATCTTGGTCGTCCTCCATCTCCTCGTCGACCTCGAGTCCTTTGGATACGTCAGGCACCTCCTCATCCTCCTGCCCACTGCCTCCGGGAAACTCACCTCGCGAATCTCCATCTGCGAACAAGCGGAAATTTATTTTTCTCTTAGGTGACAGGATAAGGCCAACTGTGCCAACTGTGCCAACTGTGCCAACTACAATATATTCAGAAATTCCTCTGTAGAAGAAATGAGCCACAAGCACGTTTCTTTGGTATCAATCGAAATAGAATTGAAATAAAGATTCGAGTTGTAGGCGAGCGCCGTAGCGTCGCTCAGCCGCCGAGCCAATCGTGCGCTCAATGAGGGAAGAGATTGGAGATTCAATCAGCGCACAGATGTCCCTGGGACAGATATTCCCTGGCTCTGGCCGTCGGGGCTAGGGATGCTGGGGCTACTAGGGGTGCTTGGGGGCCGTGGAGGCCACGGGGACTATGGGGCTTTGCTACCAGGGACTTTATCCGAATTGGCCCGCGATCCGCAAGCCACGGGCCACGGGCCACGGGCCACGGGACGATCCAAGGGATCCTAGCGAGTCCGTTCCGTTTAACACTCTCTCTCTCTCTCTCTCTCTCTCTCTCTCTCTCTCTCTCTCTCTCTCTCTCTCTCTTTCTCTC